TTTAGATTTTCAGAGAAGAAAAATTTATTAAAAAAAAAACAAATTTGTTATTCTTTTATTTTTATAATATAAGTAAACACTTAAGTATCATGTAAACACAATTTGTTATTGTGATCATATGATTTTACTAGCATTAATTTATGTTTATGGAGGTGTGCAGATACTTTGTCTACTTCTGTATAATTTACTACCACCTAAACTATGTCTTGAAAAAATGATCTTATAATTTAGATTTTTTTATTTAATTTTTGGATTTAATTGAAAATGTTAAATTGAACTTCAAAAAAAGTTTAATAAAATCCAATATAAATATTAGCATCTTTTATAGATAGATAATTAGTTAAAATGAATTTTACATCAGTAATTAGATTTTTGACATTCAGTTATAATTCCTCTATATAATACTATAATCAATTTTTCTTTATTAAGAGTTTTTATAAAAACTGTATCTATCAGAAAAGTTAGCGTAATTTTAGTTAACTTTATAAATTCTCATCTAATAATATAAATAAATATCTTGTATTTCAGTTTTTGTGATAATAAATTTACTGACTTTGTTACTTTTGGTTATATCACAGATAGGTTTACAATTCCATTTAAGAAAATTGGAAGATTTACAATAAACAGTACTAACGTAATTGGTAAATCTTTCTAATTTCTTGATTAAAACTTTATTAGCTTTTTTAGAAGAAGGAGCAGCTTAGATTAATGTTGATAAAAGAATTAAAAAAAGTGTAAAAATGATGAGTATGCAAGTTGAATTGAAAAAGGATTGAGAAGAGGATTTATAACTTGAGGATAGTAATCTGATCCTATTTTTAAAGAGTTATCAGATTCATCCTAATATTATTTTAGCCAATCTAAATAAAAAATTTTTACAGATCCATCTATTCAGATTATTCTAATCTGGATTTTAATAGATATTGTTAAATGTTCTATTGTTTAAATTATTAAGCTTAGTCAAAAATATCTTTAACAATTATTAATTAAAAGATGAAATGAATGAATCAGTATATATATAATTATATAGGAAACTATTGCTACTAACAAATATTTCTCTAACAAACAAGACAACTCCTGTTATATAAATTAGGTTTAATATTGGAAATTCATATAAGAAGATTAACATTTGTAATTCTTATATCAGTTGATCTTATGATTTTGGATATCACTCATAATTCTTGAATTCAATGCTTTTGCTTAGTTTCTAATTATAATAAAAGTTACCTAAAAATAATTTTAATTATTGATGTTTGAATTCCACCTAAACCCTCATCATATATACTGTACATATTATATGAGACGAAAAAATTTCCAGACTTTATATAAATAAACCATCTATTTAAAATGTTACAGCTCAATTTAACTAATTTAACTTATCACAATAATATGCGACTACCAAGCATACCGAAGAAAGTCTTCTACTATATTGTCAAAGTAAATATCATAGCGTTGAGAAACTTAAGGTTTTATAAAATTACTAATTAATTAATTTTTTCTTTCACATTTAATAAATTATAGTAACTGACTGGCGTCCATGGTTGGTCAGTATGCAGTTACCAACCATACAGAAATTAGACGCCTGGAAGATAGTCCTCAATCATCAAAATCATCAAATACTGTATATCACTGATAAGTTGTTAAACAAGTGCTGCGTATAAATGTTTCGAAGCATACGCAAAACATAATTAAATCAAGACTAAATATTATAAAGCTTATTTAGTCTTGATGTTAATGATATCGAGACGTTGAAAAATAACCTCCGGATATAACATTGGAAATTTAAATTATGAAGATGCTGTTGGTAAAGGGGATGGGATCATGATGCAGTCTTATATATCTTATTAGCAGGAATAGTAGTGAGCAGAGATAATGTTTAGTATGGTTTTAACATTTGGAACCCGGGATGTTAAGCGGTTCTAAAAGTCCCAATAAATTTGCCAGTTCTAGAAAAGATTTTATTTTACTGTTTAATGTATTAATGGAACATTTATGAAAAATAAATAATAATATTCCAGAACCTTTATTTTTGAAATTTAGTACTGGGTCCCAACTTAACGGTCCCATGAAAGTTCATTTTCCTATCATAAAATTTGTTAATAACAAGAGTTACTTATTGATCAGACTTTTCTATAATTAAATTTGTACATCCCTAGTTGGAACAATGCTTAAAACTTGGAAAATGTACAATAGGTGGGTGGTAAAAATATGGATGGAAATCAATTAATGCAATTTTGCTTGGTTCATTTATTTCATGAAGAGAAAAGTTTTTGTAATTTAATGTCGCTAGAATATTTAACGAAAATTTGTATTAATTTGTTGATTAAAGCAAAATCGAATTTCGTTTTATTTATATTAAATAATGGTAAAATAACCCTATAAGAAAATTCCCGAATTTATTCGTGATGTTCTGAAGTGTTAACGAATTATTTTAGTCGATAGAAATCACAAAATCTTTTTTGACAATTGTATATAGTTCCTCGGTCAGATCATAGTACTATTAAAGTGTAAACAATAAAATTTATAATCGTTTGTCTTATGTAATTCTTGGCATATTCTGAACATTTTAAGGCGATGTTTAGACATCACTGAATATGATTTTCCGTCTGAATTTAAAAGGAATTAACGATAACGTTAAATTACGCCTCAGCTCAAAATCTAAACTTTAATTTTGAGTTTTTTACGATATAATATTTATATAAAATATTTCATATGTTGATAGGTAGTAATTAACATATATATATGCGTGACATAACTCATAAATATTTCAAATTACTAACTAATCCTTTTAACGCGAAACAATTAGTTTAAAATAATAATAAAAGTTTATTTTACAAAAGTAAATAAATAAAAATAAGGCTGATTAATATGTATATATAGGAAGAAACCAAATAACCAAACCAACACTTTTTTTAACATTATAAACAGGTATAGGAACAGAAATTTTTGGTTTGTAAATCCAATCTTTGCCCCAGATAAATAATTAAACGTCAACTCTAAGTCTCAAAGGAGGAGCATTTGTTTCAGAATCAGGCGTACAAGCGGCAACAAAATCCATTATAACAGGATTATTAACATCATCAGCTTTACAATTAACTGAGTGGAAATTCTAACGAATTAACAGACTTTATTTGTAAAGTGTACTCAGGTTTGGCAATAGATTTATCGTTGTTAGCTTCTCTATCAAATACCTAAAGTTCGAAAATAAAAATGTTTAATAAAAACAAAATTAATGATGATTTGCACCCCCAAAAAATAACCTCAACTTACCGCAACATCAATTTTATTGAATTTAATTATCAATTTCAATAATCATATTAAAACTACTATTAATGTAAGGAGGATTTGTAATAAGCGTTGGTTGTGTTACAGGTACAGCTTCTTTAACTTAACATTAGATTTGCGGAGGCCAAACAAAAAATGCAGTAATGCCCAAACCAATTAAGATCAATATAGTAAATAAGATCAAATTGACCAAGAACAACATCCATTTTTTATTTTTTCTCAGGTCTAGCAAAGTCACTGACAATCAAATATGTTTACCACCACTGGGAAATCTATATCAGTATATTCATTTTCATAATGATTTGGGTATCCTGAAGTAAGGGTGTTATGACGGGTTGCTTCATCACCATAATTTTGATCATCTTGTCGATGATAATTTTGATCTCCTGTATGACCTAAATTATATGTCTCCCTATCCACTAACGGAGTTGAAGTAAGTCTCAATTTACTTTCTCTCTTCGTGTACGTAGCGTCCGTTGGTTCTTCCGGTAATTGAGTTCGAGAATTTGACGCATCATTTGTTGTTGCCGCTTGATCATGACCTAATGATCTTGTTGAATAATTTCCAGTATCTATCTCCGTTAAATGTCTTTGATTTAATTTTGGTACTTTTGATTAGCTGAAAAGGTCAGAATAGTTGGACTTGATGGGTTATTGTCCATTTGTTTTATTAGAAGAGCTTCTAAAAAACTTGATTTACTAAATAATTTAAACGATGGTTACATGATTTTAATATTTGTTAAAAAGATAAATTTAATTCCCCTCACCTCAAAAAATCGTTATTTTTTTAATAAATGAGATAATATATTTTTTCTTTTACGAAGGAAAATGACTTAATTATAATAATTTTCTTGATAAGTAAAAAAAAAATTTCAATAAAGGTTATGTATAAAAAAAAATAAATTAAAAACTGATATTAAATATATAATTATTTAAATTACTCACCCTTGGAAAGCTTCTACCAATACGTGGTTCTTCTCTTTCAAGAACGTTATCGTTAACAAGTGGTTCTTCTCTTCCAAAAACATTAATAATAATTGTCATTTTGAAAATAAAAAAGACATGTAGTCAATATATATATTACAGACTGCGTTCGGACAAACTTTGTTTTGTTTAAGTCGTGCGCGTGCGGACAACCACGCGACCTTATATAAGATCTTTTGATATTTAGATTCGACGCTGCTCTTGATTTTAGAAATATTTGCATTTTTAACTTTTATGAAGCTGCCCAAGCAGCTGATTCCATTGATGACAGATGTTGATGTCAAGGAATCGGATTCAACACCAAGAAAATACTGGGATTAAATTAAGATAATAAGAAACTAAACCCTGTTCGAAAGTTAATTAATAAATCAATCAAATAGAAATTCAAACTTACTATCATGTTCAATTCCATTTAACATTTAACATTGTCAGAAAGTCAAATTCTTGATAATAACCCTATGATAAAAAGAGCAACATTAATATATTATAATGAAGATAAAGAGAAATATAAATATATTTTTTATTTACCATTCGGAGTTAAAAGTTCCAATGCTATAATGGTCCAATGATGACAATGGTGACACTGGCATCTACTATGTCTTTCTCATGCAGGAATAATTTTAGATTTTCATGTATGCACTTTATGAACTATGTAGTACAACTACTAATATGTAAAAGTTTTAACGATCCGGTAGATATGATACATAAAATGATTTGAATATTATATATATCATCTTCAAGATAATTGCAATAAAATCAATTGAATAAACTAACCAATAACAATAAATTAGCACAATCTTCCCATTACTGTTCGAATTCGTTTTTATTAGCTCCAGTAGTTGAAAGTGATGTGTAATTTCGGCAGCATCAAGGTAATGAAGATTCTCTAATTTGTGTCAATAGCATTTTACTAAGGGGGGACGAATATATGGATCAATATTTATCTATATTTGTTCCGCATTTCCTCATGAAATTTTACATTTCTAATCTTAACTCCCAGTCAATCAACTGGCTATAACTAATTTACCAATACAACATAAAAAATTCTTTCTCTTGTTTGTTGACGAGTTCTGTATTCTTTAACATGATAAGAATACGGGGCACAAAAGAACAGCATTAATACATTTTAATGTAGATAAAAGGAAATATAAATATATTTTATCTTTGACCATTCGAAGTTATGGCAATTTCGCTTGAAAACCTTAAAATTCCAATGCTATCTTGTCCAATGATTACAGCATCTAATGCAATACAATCTCAAATTGTATCTAGCATATCGCCACCACCGTTAATATCAATCCCCTTAACCTCCATTCTAAGATTTCTAATGCAAGAATTTCTTCAACTAATTTTAGATTTCTTGAATATAATGTATATAATGTACTGTATGTGCTCCTTTGGTAAATCAGAATAATTTATGTAGTACAGCAACCAATAGATGAAAATTTTAACGATACAGTGGATAAGCGCGATCTGCATAAAAATAATTTGAAATATTCAGGATAATTGTAATAAAACAATTGAATATACTAACCAATTATAATAACTAGTAATAATGCAACTACGCTTGTGTAGTTGATAGTTTCAACAATCCATTTCTCCATGCTAAGCATCCAATACCTCTAACTCGACCATAAATTGAAAGTATTTCTAATCACGATAAATTGTACGTCCTTAGATCATTCTTTAATGGCAACGATTGATAATTTGTGAAAATCCAAGGCCGCATCAATCTCATCCATAATATATAAGGGTTAGGTTTGAATTGGTGTATAGCAAATACCAAAGCCAAAGAACTAAGTGTTTTTATTTTGACAAAATAAATATTCATTTATGTCAAGTATAATTAAAATGAACGCTGGAAAACATACAAATACCTTTCTCCACCAAAAAACTTTCCAACTCTTTCGGAAGCATAACACTAAAAATAATGCCTTCAGAAAAAGGATCCAAGCTGTCGCAACATTCAAGCTCGGTATGTCCTCCAAGAGTAATCATCTAAAAACAAAACTTGTTATATTTTATGTAACATGTTGAGATAAAAAGTGCCATTTTAGATACCTGATACATTTCCGAGATATTAAAGTGAACCCATGCATGAATTCTTCCAATCGTTAACAATCGTTTTCCTTTTACACTCATCACGTTTAGAAGTAATCTCTTCAAGATCTAACACGTAACAAATACTCTTTCTCACGAATACGATAATCTTCCAAAACACTTAGATTTGGATTGGAATTTGTATTTTCTCTGTAAAAAAATTTTTTTAAATAAAAAAAAAAATTATATATAAAGAATAGGTAGAATATAAAAAAGAATACCTTTAAGATCATCGATCTCCTTGTAATGTACTTTGTCCATTGCATCGAGCTCATCGTCAGTGTAATTTGAAATTCTTGCTCCTCATCACCTCTACTTATAAGGTCAATTAGATAAATGGTAGAATAAATATTTTAAAAACACCATCAGCATGCTTACCCAAATTTTCTAAGAGAATTTCGCCGATGAATTTTTTTCTGTTTAGTTTCTACCAAATTGCGCTTACTATCTTCGAGCTGGGTTTTGAGTTTTAATTAATACAATACATAGTGGGATTGGTTATGGAAAAAAGATTTGACGTAACGTTGAGAGAATAATAATATACATAAATATAAACCTCAATTGCTCGATCCGATTGATTATTCATCGAAGTTTTCCTAATTCTTCTTTTTTACTTTCCAATATCTAAAAAATTAGAAAAATGTAAATAAATATTATATATTTTGAAAAAAAAAAAACAGATATGATTAAACATTAATCTGAATAAATACTGATTTGGCTTCATCGAATGGAACGAGAAACTTTAATTTCTTTTGTAAGCTTTTCTATTTCATTATTTAATTCTTCTAAATCTCTTTCACTTTTTGCTCGAAAATTTTCGATTTTTAATCCTATCCTTTTCCGCCCTTGATTTGACCACTTGAGACTTGATAATTCGCTCATTCATTAAACAAGTTTGATATTTAACATGATCTATTTTAGACTTTTGAGCTCGAAGTTTATCACCCCAAATTCCAAAATCTTATCTTAATCTCCTCTTTAATTTAGAAGATTGTCTTTTCAATTGACCTAGCTCTTGTGTTAGATCAATTTGTATTCGAAGTTGTCCCATACGCCTGATACCATCTACATAAGGATTATTTTTTTGCCAAAAAAAGATTACTTATTAACCCTTAATAAGAATTTATTAGTAAAATACAGTTAAATACATACCATAACTCGGCTACTCTTTTTTCAGTATATATAATACGTTTTGCACAAGCATTCTCATCCATCTCTAACTTCAATAGTTCAAATTCTAATTTGGGATAAACCTGTCATCTTTCGGCTTAATAAGACGGAAACATTTTCAGGTGTTGTATCGGGCGCATTTACATTGTAGGCAGTTCATTCAAAGAATGAACATGGCGCAACCTAAATCTTCTTTTTAAGGTATTCTATACAAGTTTGTTCAACTTCAATAGAATCAACTACGATATTGTTCAATGCAGGACAGGCAATTGAAATCGCAACAACGTATTTATCATCAATGACACCAAAGGTTACCCAACCGATCCTAATTAAAAAAAATTATAATAATATTTCAGCAAAAATTTATAGAACGCTCCGATCCGACGAACTTACATACAATCCTTTTATACGACCACTATCTTTGAGCTTTATCAAGCTGCTAAGAACTTGTCCCCTAGGCTGAGAAGAATTTAAAAGTCTTTTCGCCTCATCATCTTATTGTCGATAATCGACAAGACTAGACTTGAAATGTTCTTGCTGACTATGATAATGCTAAAAGTAATAAAAGATATTTATGAGAATCTTAAAATACTTAATATATTAATTTAAA